GAGACATGGTTTTAGTAAAAGTTACCTGATGGCTCTGATATCATGGACAGTGGGGTCACCGGGCTTTATCCCTGGGTGGATAGACTTGCAAAGCCTCAATTTGGTGAGGTCTTGGAAGACATATGGTCCACATATTTGACTTCATATGGGTTGGGCTTGGACCGCGCGCTCTTCATCAGGGCAACATATTGCACTGAGTCACATTCCATCTGGGTATGCCCCTTCTCCAGGAACTTCTGGTGACTACCTTCTTCATTTCTCTGGAAAACTTCAGAAGAGCATTGCTGAGCACCGAATTGCGGTTTTGGTACCCACAACCATCACTCCATAAAATGTACTCCTCGTGTTCCTTATGCTCAGAGAGAAATTGGTGACACAGGATGCAAACTCACTGGCAGACAGAGCTCCCTCACCTTCATGCCAGACACAGCAAATGGCGTTGTGTGATGACATGTCATATACTGTAAAGTTGTGGACGGCAAGTTTGGACTGAAAAACAGGCTCCAGGTACTGTTTTAATGTGGATGACCTACAGTAGTGGGAGGGCACTTTAGGGAGATCCTGCAGAAAGGTCCTCATGAAATCATGAGTCTCACCTCTGTGGCATGATGTGGGATTCTTCTGTGTCCTATCCGTGTCTTTCACCCAGTTAAGGAGAGACCACTCCCCTATTTCAACCATCGCAAAAACAAATTCCTGCACACCCTCCTCCTCTCCCCATCAACTTTTTAAAAAAAAACAAGAGTTGATGACCTTCTTGAATTTTCAGACCCCCTTCTCCTCTGTACTGGGGTGACATCTACCAAACCACGCACATACATTCTTTTCTCTTCCCAGTTCATGTTTCCCAAAAGCTTTTAAAAATCTTCTCCCTGTCTGCCTCTTCAACTTTACTGCAGTAATGCTTGGAGGATTTCTCACAAGCAGCTGACTGGCATCTTGGTCCCATCACCCTTGGCTCCTTGGTGACTTCTTAATTCTTGCTCCTCCCAATGTAGGTCTGTCCCATCATTCTCTTTTTCTGCACACGCTTCTTCCAATTACTTTCATTCTTGCACTTTCTTCCTCCAACTGTGTCACCCTCAGCCCCATCACGAGGATCTTAAAAAATAACACGAAAAAAACATCAGAGTGAGTGAGTGAGTGAGTGTGTGTGTGTGTGTGTGGTGTGTGTGTGTGTACTCTCCATCTGTGCTCTCACTGTCTGTGTCTATAACTGGCCTTAGTTTGTTTGCCTCCTCATATGACACGTCAACCATAGCACACATTTTCACTGTTCAATCAAACAGCGTACATATCAGCTTTGTTAGCTAATTAGACGACACATCTGTAACGTCTTAATCTGTAACACTGATATTAAATAACGTTACATCTGATGACAAATACTCATCGGCATTTCAATAATGGACAGTTTAAAATGAGTTTTCTAACAAGTATTGCTTTCGATTAAATAGGGATCTAGCTAGCGAGAGAAAGGCTATAAATAATCGGGTCTTCTCACGTAACGTTAACTTGGCTTGCTCGCAAACATTTCCGTCTATAACAACAGTGATAACATCAGAGCTAAATGTGATAAACAGGTACACTGGATGGTTTTGACTGCGTTAGCAAACTAACTATGGGTAATTGAAATCATTTGATTGAACATATTTACCTCAGACGGAATCAGACGGTCACTGTTTACACTCAGTTCTGCTGTGTGACTCAAGAGGGGGGCGGGGTGGAGACAGTTTGAGGATCCGGTGGAGTTATGAGTCACGAGTTGTTTTTATACTTTGTATTGGTAAAATATTTGTAAAAACCACAGACAGACGTAAAGGGTGACCAATAACACAGATTTATTTAAAAAAATAAAAAATTATAAAATGTGGAGATAGGAGGTTTCTGCCCGACAGCGACGATATCCTTAATATTATATGAAATACTCTAAACAATTCAAGTTTGGGTGGTGGCACGGTGGTGCAGTGGTTAGCACTGTCAAGAAGGTTGGGTTCAAACCATAGACTGTTTATAAAAATGGACGTAGCGTCCGTGACGTCACCCGTTGGTTTCCGAAGAGCCGTTTTGAAGCTCAAAATTGTCAGCAAACCTTGTGACGATGATGTTAAGACTAGTGTTAAGACTGTTCAATAAAATATGGAAGGATGGAATAATACCGGGAAGTTGGAAAAGTGCAGTGATACTACCGTTTAGCAAACCTGGTAAAGACCCAACCAATCCTGGTAATTATAGACCCATAGCTCTGACATCACACTTATGCAAATGGATGGAGAGGACAATAGTTCATAGGTAATCACATGTAATGGAACAGAGAGGACTACTGAGTGATATACAAAATGGATTTCGGAAAGGGCGCTCCACAACAGATGCTCTCGTTAGAGTAAGTAATGAGGTAGAAAAGGCACTGAAAATGAAAGAGCTGTTGATAATAGTGTATTTTGACATTGAGAAGGCATATGATACTATGTGGAGGGAAGGACTACTTATTAAACTAAATAGAATGGGGTTTGAAGGAAGGATTTATAACTGGATACTAGACTTTTTAACAGATAGGAAAATTAGAGTAAAGGTTGGATCAGACATTTCTACAGAGTTTAAGGTAAATAATTCCCAGGGGAGCGCAATTAGCCCTATATTATTCAACATTATGATTAATGATATATTTTCAGATTTAGATGGACACATCAAATCAGCGTTATATGCAGATGATGGGGCCATATGGATGAGAGGAAGAAATGAGATATGTGTTAGAGAACATTAGGAAAGCAATAGGGAAAGTAGAGAAGTGGTCATTCAAGTGGGGATTTAAAATATCAACAAGCAAATCCTGTAATATGGTGTTCACAAACAAGCGAAAGAGTCATGTAGAAAAGCTTTTTCTATATCAGCAGCCAATGGAAAAAGTAAATGAATTTAAGTATTTGGGATTGTGGTTTGATAGTAAGTACACATGGAAAACACACATAAAGCAATTGGAAACTAAATGCAAACAAGTTATTAATGTACTGAGAGCGGTGGTGGGATGCGACTGGGGTGCAGATAAACAGTCACTAATTGACATATATAGAGCATGCATGAG